TATGGGGCCATCCATAAAGTGCAGCGCTTCTTGCACATGCACTGTGGGCACCCTGTCACAGCTGGGTGCCCACAATGAAGATGCCAGCGCCAGGGAGAGAAGAAGGCTGGTGAAACCAGCGGTGGTGAGGACACCACTGGACTGAAGGACAGGTAAGTGGTTGTATTATAAGAATCAGCAGTTACAGTTTTTGTAGCTGCTGACCTTTATTTTTTTTTTTTCAGGTGGAACGCCGCTTTAAATGTACAGTATATGAGATTGTAGGCTCTCATAAGCAGGTCCCTCCTAACACTCTTGTATTGAAGTGTATTGTAATTGTATTGTCTCCGTTTATTTTGTAAAGTGCTGTACAAACTGTTGGCGCTATATAAATCCTGTATAAAAATAATATATTTTTTTTCAAATGCAAACAGTGTAAGTACCTAATTTTGATTTGGTATCATCCTCTTGCAGTCTCTGTACAATAGAGCTCAGAAGCAACCCAAGGAGTCAGTTAATTGTACTGCAGTGCTCATGTGCTAACAAAGGGCATGCTGATCTAAGGAGGAAGCAGAGTGACAGGGAAATGAGATCATCAGTGTGCTTCTTCTCCTTTCACTGTCCAGTCACAAGCTGGGGGAGGGACAAGACCTGTGAGAGTTACCTAACTGCAGCAGAGAAAAATCAGGTCTCCTTTTTTCCATGCAGGGCTCTGTGGCTATGCAATTCTCAGGACCATATGGACAGAAATAGTTATCCTTGGCAGATAAAACAGTTCCCATACATATCTTATGTGTTTTATTTTGTCTATTTAAGTGTTCGCCTAGAGGTCAGCTATAAAAATAGAGATAACTGGATGTGGGTTCGGATTTGGCATATCAAGGGCTAGACCTGTATCCATTATTCTATATATTTTAAGCTTGCAAGGGGGGGTGCTGGGATATACAAGTCATAACTTGATACTCCGATTATGCTATGTTGTGGGCGGGGCCTACATACCTATACACTAGGGGTACCTTTTTCCAAAAGGCATGCTCATCAATGCCCAGGACTAGGGGGGAACTTTGGTCCTGTGCAGAGTTCAACATTAAGACAATCTCCCCACTTAGAGATGAGCTGACACTGCAAATAGTTTGAAGCTGAATCTCTTTTCCAAGAGTTGTCCCCTTGATCTACTTTCAGGGCTGTACTTGTATTGCATTAGGGGCAGCAGGACGAATCACAGTGCACCCATGAAACCAGCGTACGCCTGTTACCTTATTCCCAGTTGGGTAGAGGGTATTACAGGTCAGTCCTTTGGTACCTCCCCCTGCTCTTGAAGCTTGGAGATGTTTCTAGAAGCCAGTGGGTAGAGGCCAGGAGGCACTAATCTGCCTATTAATGGGAGTCTGAACGATCCCAGACAGAAAGCCTGGCAGTGTGGCAGACTGGCCCATAAATATGAGAAAGCCTGGCCAGCAGGGGGGTTGGGTGGAAAAGATGGGGTACTGATGGGTGTTGCTATTAGTCTGGGAGGGGACTCTGGAGGAGGGGGGCTCTGCCTCCAAGCTGGAGGTCTGAAATAAGCTGACAAAGGGAGCTCCACTGCCTTACAGTCCGCCAAGGAAGGACAGCCTGTCACACTGGAAGTGAACCAGCCCAGCAAAAGCCTAAAAGCAGTTCATCCAAAGCTGCAGGACACAAGGATAGTGTGAGAAGTTCTACACCTCCAGGGACCAAGTACTCTTCATGATCAGTGAAGAGACTGTTGCCACTCTGGAGGGAGTAGGAAGTCTAGGATCCTACAGCTATTGTTCTAGTCAAGTTGGGCATCCCATATACCCCTAGACCTTATCCAACGTGTATATCCAAAATTGAACAACTAAAACTAAAGCTCATGGACTGGTTACTGACTCTGAATGCAAGTTGGAAAATGCATGTTGCCTGGCTGTGCAGAAAATAAGGGGGACCCAAAACCAGCGTCTCTCAAGGGGGTAGCACTACATCTGTATTAAATAATAAATACCATGCAGTTCTATCATTTGTCCCAGCCCTTTTAGCTGTAACTTTTACTTTACAGCTGGACCCGCATGTAAATGTAGAAAAATAAACGACCAGCAAAGGCAAGTGAAATAAAAAAGGAGGTCATACTAAATACTGTACTATCATTACAAGTATACAGTTACCAGAATACAATAGCTTCTGCTATAATGGTCCTTTAAATGGCATTTTCTAAGAGATAGCAAAAGAAATGGCGTGACCACAAAGTAGAAAGTTTTTATTTATCAGTGGAAGGATCGGTAAAGGTGAACTTTACAATAAAAAAGTTTATATAAAAAAATAAATATATATAATAAATATATAAGTACCTGTAATAAATAAAATAATAATAAATAATAAGTAAAAAGTGCTGCAAATGCTTCTCATTCAGTAGACTTCATTATCTGTAATAAAAGATTCCCTTACTGTGGATTGTTATAGGAGAAGGTGTGTCGCTCCCTCTGGCGATAGCCTTGAGGTTCGTTTTAAAAAGCATGCAATTCAATTAGGAATACTGAAGTCATTAAACTCCAATGAGAGCGCAGAAAGCAGAGGCTGGAGTTCCCCTCCACAGTCTACAAAGCCACATCCTCCGCTGGAGTCTCAGCATTCACAGGCAGCTGGACAGACAGCAAGCATGAAGAAAGTGTGGGAGAAACTCACCAACAAATCTAAAAACAAACATGTTTCTCCAACTGAAAAAGTTCAGCTTCTGCCTGGGACAGCTAAGCAAGAGCGAAAAAACACCGAAAGACTAAAAAATGAAGCCACAGACATCATAAAAGATGTAGTTAACAGTGCACTCCACACTTTACGTATCCCGAAAAAAAAAAGGAATTTGATTAAAGACACAGAGCCTGAACAGTGGAAAGACACAGGTAAGAAAGCAATGATCCCAAGATGAAGTTATCATTTATTGACTATTTTTTTGTTGCAGACACTAAGCACATGCTACTTTCCTGAGTGGCAGTAATATATAATAATCTAACATGAAAGTTATTAGAAGTTTAAAGAGTCAGTCCACCCAATATTGATATTTCAATGTTTTCTGGAGGCTGAAGAGTTAAAACATCTGGCAGCTTCCTTATACTTCTGAGAGATTCTGTTGGGAAAATCGGTGGGTTTGCATTATGGTCATTTTTTAGGGTTTTCCATTCCTGCTGGATGTTAAACTAATTTTATATAATGCAAAATAAAATATGAGGAGCTGAAACACACAAAGGTGGACAGCCAAACTCACTGGTGGATGGGGACAAAGACGGAAATTATAGCAGGGAGCAGGGGGGGGGGGGCTGACCATTTGGAAACTCGGGCACTGCCCGAGGGCCCGGGGTAAGTAAGGGGGCTCATGAGATGCCCCTGGTACCTTTTTTCATAGGCTTTTTTGAGTTTGGGCAAGGATACAGGGGCCCCATGATCCCCCCGCCCCTGGCAGGGAGATCTGGCTGTTAGTGTATCCAAGACACATGATAAGCCAGAGATAAATGTAGCTAATTGGGCTCTACTTTTTTTTGTTTTATTTTGTTTTGTTGGTGATGGTGGGTGGGGGTAGTGGTAGTGGTGGTGGTTTGGTGGTAGAGTGGGGTCTTCACATTTAAATAAAATATCCTTTTTGGCAATGGACTAACTCTTTAATTATAGAATATTACTACATTTATTATTTGTTTTATTAAGTTATTATTTTTTCTTCTATTGTATACAGTGGGGTTGACTTACTAAAACTGGAGAGAGCAAAATCTGGTGCAGCTCTGCATAGAAATCAATCAGTTTCCAGGTTTATTTGTCAAAGCCTAAAGTAGTTGTAAAATCTTATTCATGCCCAGGGAAGTGATTGGTCTCAGGTGATACACAGAGATGAAGCAAATCCTCCTACATAAGTTTTACCTGATTATCTACGCCGTCTGAACCCTACATCTATTCAAAGTACAGAATTTACACAGCATCTCACAGCTCTGAAAGGCAGGGTGTGGAGAGCTGAAGTTACACTTAGTAAAGAGAGCTCTGAAAGCTGATTGGATGGAAGGGACACAATTCCTACACAGCACACAGGAACAGAGCTAAGGCTGTCAATCTTCTGGAGGTCCCTCTCCTGTCACCATTTTTCTCTTGGTGTCAGGAAAACTTGTCAGCAGTGACTCATGCTGATAGCAAAGGAACTAGGCAGCTGACAGAAATTACACTTAGTACACACTATAGAGGGATACATTTTGTTCATATTTCATTTCTGAGGTTTACAACCACTTTAACTGAACAAGCTGAAGTTAGAAGGTGATTGGCTACCATGAACAGCTGCACCAGATTTTGCACTCTCCAGTTTTAGTAAATCAACCTCAGTATGTATTAAACACATAGTTGTGACCAGAGCAATTACTTTGCACTGCGTTCACAACTTCAAAACAGGGACCATATGATGTTTATACACTCCTGTGGTCACAAATATCATTTCTTCCACATATAATTACATAGCTATATGTCCATCTAGCTTAAAAAAAGACAAAAATACAAATAAAATACTGTGCATATTCAGAAACCAGAATTCTGCCTTTATACCTGTGCCAGCAGCAATGAATATTAGTGCACATGTACAGTAGATGTTAATTTACCTGTACACCAGCACACAACACATACCATACATTGTGGCGCAATGCATTGTGAAAATAGTGCAGGGACATTCAGGTGAAGTGCCAGTCTATTCAAAATGTATTGGTTTCCTTGGCACAGCTGGTCTCAGAGCAAAAAAAGCATGTGGTAGATCTTGTGCATTACGCGATGTACAGGTTTGAAATGACGCTTTACCTGCAAATAATCCAGAGGAAGCCAAAAAAAAGTTTTATGAAGTGTGGTTCAGTTTGGTGCAACAGGGAAGAAAATTCCTTCCTGATCCAAAAAAACTGGAAAAAAAATATTTTTTTTAATACAGTTGGAGCTTGGAACAACATGAATATACACATCAGATGATTTTAGGACATTATATAGATGCAGGGGCGTCCCTAGGGTTGGTGTCACCCAGTGCAATAACACTTGGTGACACCCCCTCCAACAATCCCCGCAGGATGGATTGGATCTGCAGATTGAGCATAATGGATTGGACTCCGATCCATTATGCTCCCCAATCCTCAGATCCGATCCATCCTGTGGGGATCGTCGGCTTTCTTTGCAACTTACCTTTTCGTGGAGCGGGTCTGGAGTCACCCTGTATAGGTTGCATGCCGATGATCCCCGTAGGATGGTTCAGATCTGCGAACTGAGCATAATGGATCAGAGTCCGATCCATTAAGCTCCCCAGTCCGCAGATTATAAAGAAAGCCGACAATCCCCGCAGGATGGATCAGATCCATCCTGCAGGGATCGTCAGCTTGCTTTACAACTTACCTTTTCGTGGAGCAGGTCCGGTGTCACCCCATGCAGTAGGTGTCACCCGATGTGGCGCGCACCCCCCGCACCTGCCTCAGGACGCCACTGTATAGATGTAATCACTGTGCAGTACCATACACTTGTATATTATTGCATTGTTCACGTTTAAATAGCTCACTAGTATATCTATTATGTCTGTAATCATTTTGAAGTGTAGATACACACATCCATTGCTGCATTTTGAAACCCAAAATTTGCAGGCATGTTTATACAGTCCAATACAGCCTACAAAACATATAAGAATTTAGTATAAACAAAGCAGAAAGTGGAAAATATGTGAGTGTTACGAAACTGAAAGTGCTTGGTGAGCATTGCCATGTGTCTGAGTGAGAGCTAATTCTAGAAGTACTGGAAAGCATGTTCAGTACTGGATACAATTTCAAGCTGGCCAATGGTCATAGATGGGTAGAATTTTGAATAAAAAATCTTAGAAAAAGAATGTTCTAAGAAAAGCTCATTTCTTGTTCTAATCATTAGTGGGTCACACCAAAGTTCATTTTTGGTGCGGTGAGAAAATTCGAAAGAAGCAGGATGGACATTGTTTCTCAAATGAACATATTTCTAAAAGTGTATATGGTTTTCATTCCAAAATCATTTAGACTTTTCCTAAGAATTTTCATTCAAAATTCTATCCACCTATGGCCAGTTTAACACAAGTTGCAGTGCCACAAGCAGCTATTTTTTATTGATACAATCTACTCTAATTTACTCAACTCTGCTGAGTTACTTCACTCTGCTTTTATGAGACAGTCTAGTATAGATGGATTCTCTCCATTTACTTGCTCTTGGTGGCCTTGTGGTTCTCGGTCTTCTTGAGCAGCAGCACGGGCCTGGATATTGGACAGGACTCCTCCCTGGGCAATGGGGATGCCACCCAGCAGCTTGTTGAGCTCCTTGTTGTTGCAGACAGCCAGCTGGAGGTGTCAGGGGATGATGCGAGTCTTCTTGTTCTCTTGGGCAATATTGCTCGAGGATCTCAGCTGTCAGATACTCGAGGACGGCAGTCAGATAGACTGGAGCTCCGACTCGCTCAGCATAGTTGCCCTTCCTGAGCAGCCGGTGAACACAGCTGACAGGGAACTGCAGACCAGCCTGGGAGAATCGGGTCTTGGCCTGAGCCCGAAACTTGCCTCCTTGTTTGCCAGATCTGATTAGATTGCCGATGAGTCAGACAGAAAACAGTCTACTCTAGTCAACCCTACTTTAATTAGACAGTCTACTCTAGTCTATTCTGCTTTGTTGAGACCGTCTAGTCTACTCTACTTAGATTAGACAGTCTACTCTGCTTTGATGAGACAGTCTACTCTAGTCTACTTTACTTGAATGAGACAGTCCACTCCAGCCTAATCTCTTGATGATGCAGCCTACTCAAGCTTATTCTACTTTAATAAAACAGTCTAGTCTACTTTGATGAAACAATCTACTCTAATATACTCTCTATTGATGATACAGCCTACTCAAGTCTATTGTGAATTAATCAGATGGTCTACTCTGCTTTGATGAGACAGTCTACTCTAGTCCACTCTACTTTTATGAGACAGTCTACTCTAGCCTACTCTAATTTGAAAATACAGTCTATCCCAGCACATTCAAACCTAAAGAGACAGTCTACTTTGTCCTACTTTTCTTTGATGTGACATTCTACCCAAGTCTATTTTACTTTTGTGAAACAGTCTACTCTAATTTAGTGACACAGTCAAGACATTAATTCCTCTAGGGAAAGAGCCGTAGCAAAATGGATGCATTAAGAGCTGGTTTTGAGTGCAGAAAAAAACTGATTGGATTGATTTGTAGACTAATATGAATTTGTTAATCATAAGGTGTTTGGACATTGTAAGGAATAGAAATAAACCCAATTACTGTATGTTCTTAAACATCCAAGATCCTTTATAATACCTGGTAGCCATTAGGTAGAACAGGCCCACAGAGAGGGTTCGGGCGGACTAGACTAAAAAAGGAAAAGTAGTCCTGACTAATAGCATGCCAGCCAACATCTGTGTATGTAGTCAAATACTGCCAACCATGCTAAAACAATCATGTACTGAGTCATAAGGAGACCCAGCTGCAGAACATACAGGCTATGTTGAGAGTTTCTGTTGTATGCAGATAGGTTTTAATTAATATTGACAAGCTCTGAGGAATTGACAACAGCCCAAAAAACACTACCAGGAAGACCATTCCTTCTGGTATATGTCGCAATAGAAGTTCTGCCAGACTAGGTCTGGTTGGGGAGGGTGATCTGGTGAAACATTGGCAGTGCTCCTCTTAGGCTCACTTTACACAATGGGTTATGTTAAGACACCCGTGTTACACAAACATGTGCGGTGCAATAAGGTGTGTTGCATTAAAGCAGCCCATTTACTTTGAATGGGTTGGCAGCCCACCTCGATGCATTGTCCAAATGCAGCACACCAAAACAGAGGACATGTGCATCTTAGTGCCTACTACAGTAATGTTTTAGTGGGACCACAACACACACCACATTGTGATTCACTTGTTACCTCAATGCGAATGAGAGGGGTATTAGTGTAAGGTGTTTGCTGCTGGGGTTCTGTGCAAGTAGCTTCCGTGAAGGACGCTGACCGCAGGGGGACCATTGATTGGCACTGCTACCATTCATAGAGCAGCTTGTATTTTTTTTTCAATGAATACAATCTGTTCTCTGATAGGACTGGAAAAGAGTCACAGCAATGTAAGGATCTCTGATTTGTCCAATCAGAGAACAATTTGAGTTACCCCTTGAGGTCAATGTACAGAGAGCAAGTTGCCTGCCTCAGGACCCAGAATTCCATGGCTATAACTTTAGTAATGCTGACTATTACAGTGTCAACTTCCCCAGCGGCCCCCATCAGGTATGAGATATGCATACATATTATGCCAAGCTGGACCAATGTAAGTATGCAATAAACATCATACCTAGAGTTCAGCTTTACGTCCCAAGTTAACACTGATGTGGTGCGGGGATCCGCATGTGATTCAGACAGGAATTGAACTGCATTCTTGTTCAAATCACATGCAGTTCTTTGTAGTGTGACTTAAGACCATTCATTTTGTATGGCTCAAATCTCACCGCACCCGCATGAAAAAGGTGCATACACCTTTTTTTTTTTGCTGCACTGGAATCAGATCGCATGGGTGTTCACAGCCATGCAATCCAATTCAGCCAATCACATTGCATTTTGCAAACCATTTTTGGGGTGTCATTACCTTAACATTGACACCCACAGCGGTTCGCACAAACGGAGTGCGATTGTGATGCAGTGTGGGAAATGCATCAGTGTGAACTAGGACTTAGGATGTATTTAATGTAAAGTAGGTTGGCTTAGTGGGAAGTCCTTAATACAGTGTAGGTCCATTTTAATTTTTTTATATTTTAAGGACTTCCATCTCCCTGACATTGGGACAGAGTGAGAGGAAATTTCACCAGCATAGACACAAACCACAATAAACCAACAAACACATTTTTATATTAATTAATTTATTTTCAATATTTATTTTTAATTTATGACAAATAAGGGATACATTTGGCAAATTACAAGTGTAACATATATCAAAAGCACGTACATGAGTATGTCCAAGTTGCAGTAGCACCGAGTTGGAATCGTTACCTATGTTGACCTATTCTCCTTGGGTGCAAAACACATGTTTTTAGTAAAGTAGGGAAAGGGTAGAACCTCCGGTTTTTATTGCATTTTGTGGCCCTGCAGTGTAGTATCCCACTCACTTCCTGTCCCTGTGACACATTGTGCGTCAGTGTTTGACATGGCATCACCAGGACAGCAACAAAAACCTGACAAACATCTACCCCCTCCCCCATAAGGAGTTCTTATCCATCCAAAACTGAAAGATAAAAGGTTTTCCCTGCAGTAGGACTTTAATCCCTGGTTCACACCTCTGTGCCTTCAAGTGCGAAATGCAATTTACAAATTGCACCTGAAGTCCCATATAATGTGTTTCTATGGCACTGTCTTAATAGGTGCGATTTAAGGTAGCGCGATTTGATAAATAGTTCCTGCATTACTTTTTCACCACTTCAGTGCGATTAAACTCTCATAGAATATAAGGTGTCTATATCAGCGCTATTTTGAAGTAGTGCTTTAAATAGGGCCAGATCGCACCACTTTGAAATTGCATTCGGTGTAAACCAGGGCTAAACACATTTTCTAGTGAAGTTTTTTCAGTGAAAGCCATAATCTGATGAATACTGCGGTACAGGGGCGGACTGACCATTTGGAAACTCGGGCACTGCCCGAAAGCCCAGGGTCAGTAGGGGCCCCATGAGATGCCCCTGGTACCTTTTTCATAGGCTTTTTTGAGTTTGGGCAAGGACACAGAGGCCCCATGATCCCCTATTGCCCGGGGGCCCCATGAGTTGTCAGTCCACCCCTGCTGCGGTTCATCAACTTTTCTTGTTATATCCCATATCTATGTTGCACTTGGAATTGTGCTGCTAACCTCACAGACTGTTAGAAGAGAGATATGTTGGCTGCCATGGCTTCTCGCTCCTAAATATGTCAGCTGAAACAAAAGTCATCAGATGAATCTAAACTATGCTGACAACAATCTAAACAGTGTGCACTGAATCTCTGAAACAAGTACAACTTGAATAACCACAATGTACTCTAAACACAATGTAACTAAAATAATAAACACAACCTATACATAAACTAGGGAATAGCAGGAAAACCTAAAATCCATCAAGTTCTGTAAATAATTCAAGTTCATCCTCATCAAAAGTTCAAACAGTCCCAGCCTTGCAGCTCAGCTTTGAAAGAGTGGAGTATTCAATTCACTAAAAGACACAAAGAGAAAGACTAAAAGTATTACACTTACAATAAAAGCAGGTTTAGGTGACATCATGGCATTCATTACCAGGGGCGGACTGCCCATTTGGAAACTCGGGCACTGCCCGAGGGCCCGGGGTCAGTAGGGGGCCCCATGAGATGCCCTGGTACCTTTTTCATAGGCTTTTTTTGAGTTTGGGCAATGACACAGGGGCCCCATGATCCCCTATTGCCCGGGGGCCCCATGAGTTGTCAGTCCGCCCCTGTTCATTACTGACTCTAGATCCTGTTGCTCATGGTCCCTGGCATCTGAATTGGGCAGGGATGAACTTTAAACTGGGCATTTGGAACACACCGAACTCTCCTGAGCATCAATCTCCTTCCATGTGATATCCTGCAGCAATCTCCCTCTGCCGCTGCGCACATCATGTGTTTAGGGTAAGATTATCAGAATTTCAAAATGAATTGCAGGGACACCCTACTGACCATGCCCACTTTTAACAACACTCTCCAAAATCGCACCCCCATTTGTAGCCACATCCACAAAATCGCATTCCCATTTTTAAAGCCCTAAAACAATTGACCTTTGGAACAAAAGGCAGACAATAGAGTAAAGGCAAGCATTTCAAATAAGAGGCACCAAGATATTCAGGCGTAGTTAGGAGAGACACCTTGAAAGTTACATATAGTTACATAGTTAGTCTGGCTGAAAAAATACAAAAGTCCATCCAGTTCAACCATAGAAAAAAAAGTTATAATCCTATACCAACAGTTGATCCAGAGGAAGGCAAAAAAACCCAGCAAAGCATGATCCAATTTGCTCTTGCTGGGAAAAAAAATCCTTCCTGATCCCCCCGAGAGGCAATCAGATATTCCCTGGATCAACTTTACCTATAAATGTTATATCCAGTTAAATTCTGTGTATCTAACAAGAAAAAAAGTAAAAAAAAACGCAAATAGCTCCGGTGGTGCCATTTTGGATTGGTGCCTGCACAGAGTGACTGCTCAATTGGCACCTGCACAGAACACTGACTGGCAATGTGTGTGGCTGGGGACACTATTGGGACACGTTTTCAGGAGACAGATACCTTAAGACAGGGACTGTCCTTGGGAAGCAGGGACATATGGTAACCATGTGTTTGGTTTTGGGGACCTTCCTGTCAGGATCTGGTGCAGCAAGTGCTAATTCCCAGGTGCATAGAAGCCTAAAAAGATGTGAAAGGACAAGAATGCATGTGTGCATGAGGCCTTGGTGCACATGTGCATCCACAGGCACACCAACAGATCCTGGCAGCCAACGGCTTTTTAAACATGAGGTCTGCCTCTCCTTATCGCTGGAAAGATCTAATGCTTCTCTTTGGATTT